ATGAGACATGCATGAAACAAACATTGTACGATGATATCTATTCTCACCATCATTTAAAATGAAGAGAATCTAGGACTCAGGGAGGGTAATCTTACTCAAGTTCCCTCAGCTGTTCAGTGGTAGAATCAGCAACTGAATCCAGATCCTGTGATGCCCAAATACATGCCATTTTCACTGTATGGGATCACTTCTTCCGAGAGCTAAATATCCCTCTCTCCTCCAACTTCCTGTCTTATTTTGAATAGTCCATTAAAAAATGATTCCTGATCTCTTCTGTGAAGAATCGGCACTTTGGATCACAGAACCAGCCTAGGGTCTCCTATTGGTACAATAGGTAGCTACTTCTAAGGTGATTTAAGTCTTGTCCCTTGGGATCCAAAATATTCCTTCCTCTCAAAGCTTTAAAGTAAGTTTAAATTCTAAGTCAAAAGGGAAATGAGTTTAAATTCTAAATAACCAAGAAAAACTCTGGAAGAGTTTCTTTTAGACAACTATCCCTCAGACATACTGTGTTTAGCTATGATTTATTGTCTCTCCCTGGGCTGGATGTTAGCACTTTACATAAGTCCCCTCCATCACTCTTTCAGCATTTATTTTCTGAGCACATAAAATGTTTTTGGCATGCTTCTAATTGCTGCGGATATAGTAGTGAACAAAATGGTGAACCTTAACCCTCCATGGTGGATGGGGGGACAGATAATATGCAAAATAAACAAATAAGTAATATGTCAGGGGTTGATAAGAGCTGCGGATATACATAAAGTACTCAAGAAGGACAGAAATACTGGGGTTGGGTGGAGTAAGGGTGGCTGTGATGTTGCTGTTGGAATGTGGTTGGGAAGGTCTCTGACTTGAGCAGCTCACCCAAGGACATACATGGGGGTGTGGCAAACCGTGCAGTTATCTTGGGACAGAGCTTTCCAAGGAGAGAAGAGAGAGTGGGAACGTCCTTGGGAGAGAATGCTGGGTGTGCTGAGGAACGTGTAGTCGAACAGTGTGGCTGGAGCGGGAGGAGCAAGGGGAGAGAGGCAGAAGATAAGACAGAGAAGAGGAGGTTGAGAGGGAGGGCCAGGGGGCTTGGAGGCCATTGTCTGAACATGGATTCCCAATGAATCTTCACAACACATGGGTCTAATTACTCCAATTTTAAAGTTAAAGAGACATGCAAAGAGAAATTTCATAGTTACTCAAGGCTACTATGGTGTGGTCAGGGGTTTAAATCCAGAATTTCTAATTCCAAAGTTTGCTTGCTCTCCTCCTCTGTCTCCTGAGGATCCTCTGCTTCCATGGTCCTGAGTAGGGGCTTTAGACGAATAGCTATGTCCACAACACTTATAAATCTTGATGCACATTTCTAAAGAGTAAACATTAGGAAAAAATTCATAAAGGGCATTGTAATGAGAGGCAAATTACATTCTGAGATGTTGCGTCTACTGAGTTGGAATTTATTATCTAGACAATCTAATGCTTTGTCTGTAACAAGAGGAAAAAAGCCAGAAGAGAGGAAGCTGTGGCTGCAAGTCCTGGAAGTGCTGAGCACAAGGGCATACTGAACAACCCGAGATCAAAGAGGCCGTTGGAAATGCAGCCAGCAAGAAAAGCCAGGCCAATCCCCTGAGGATGAGACAGAGATGTCTACATCTGTAATCTAGAAAATCTTCAGAAATGCACACAGTGAAAATGCTGTCCCATGCTTTGGTTCAAGTCCCTTTGACAATAGCTACAGAAGCTAGAAAGAGTCAAATCTCTCTTTCCCATGTTACTTCAAAATTCTGGAAAACATGGCTGGTCAGTCACATTTTGCCACCCAAAAAGCACTATTCCTGTGATCATGTTTTCTGATGACCCCAAGGGCCCCTACACAGTCTCTCTGGAGCTTATGTCACTTGGTGTCCACTTATTCGTGTCTTGACTTCCGAGCTGTATGAGACTATCCAGACCAGGTGCATTTTTCATGTCAAATACCTGCACCCCTAGGTATGATCCCCTGTAGGTCCAAGCCAAGTCACCTGGTTTCCTGTAACTTATTGCCCCACATAGGCAGCTTGAGTGTTTAGAAGACTGGGGTTCACTCCCTTCAAAGGAGCAACTTGATAAAATGCTACTGCAGCCCCAGCTCAGCAACGACAGTGCTCTGAGGAATTCCAAGGTAGCTCAGGAGTTCCATGAAAGCAGATTATTTACTGGTAGTTCCGTACGTCCTCACGCAGCTGTCTCCTGGCTTCCTGACAGCCGTCCTTCACACGTGGAAACAAGCAGAGTTCTGAGACCACGTTCCTGGAGGGGTCCCCTAACCGGCACAGACGTGGAAGGCAACCTAAGGCTCATGAAAACAGTTAAATGAGAGTTGGAGGTCCAAGAAAAAGAGTGGTGCCATTCTGGTAGGGAGGGCAGGGTGCTGCTGAAGGACCGGTCCCTATAGATCCTCACGGACAGATCCTCACCGACACGCATGGAGCCTCGCCTGTGAAAAGGCTGGCTGGACTTGTGGCTTCCTCTAAGGACTAACTGCAGGAATGCCGGGAAAAAAGTGTCTTGCTTTCAAACACCTTCCGCCTCCTGATTGTTGCTGCCTAAAATTCCTTTCACTTAGAAGCAGAGGAGTGAGTATAATTTGAGGTAAAAAACACCCCGCAAAGCCTACAACCAGCACCATCTCGGTGTAAATTCACTTTAGGGTGCAACAAACGGAGCTTTCTGTGAGGAGGTTGTCACGGGAGTAGGGGAATGAGGTGGTATTTGTTTTCTATTGCTGACATAACAGATCGCCCCTAACTTAGTGGCTTAAAAACACAGATTTACTGTCTCACATTTCTGCAGATCAAAAGTCTGGGAAGGTTGGCTGGGCTCTGCTGAGGGTTTCACGAGGCCGAGATCAAGGTATCGGCAGAGCTGCGGTCCTTCCTGGAGGCTCTGGGGGAGAACCCCTTCTGGGATGTCTCAGCTTGGTGGCAGAGTCCAGTGTTTTCAGTTGTAAGACTGAGGTCCCCATTTCCTTGTTGGCTATTGGCTGAAAGTTGTTCTCAGCTTCTAGAAGCCACTTGTGTTCCCTGGCTTATGGTCCCCTTTCTCCATCTTCAAAGCTAACAATGCTAGTTAAGTCCTTCTCACGTTCCAGGTCTCTCTCACCTCTTCTGCCTCGCCTCTCCTGATGCTTCTTCTACCACGTCTCTCTGACTCCAGCTGGAGAAATTTCTCTGCTTTTGAGGCTCAAGTGATTAGATGGGACCCATCAGATAATTCCGGGTAATCTCCCTGTCTTAAAGTCTGTAACCTTCATTATATCTGCAAAGTGTCTTTTGCTCTATAATTTAATAAATGCACAGGACCCAGGGATTAGAGTGTGGATATCTTCAAGAAAGGGGCCATTATTTGGTCTACCACAGAGGTGAAGGCAAAGACGTCAAGATTTTTACACATTGTTTCTTTTAATCCTCAGAACTGCAATGAAGCACCAGAAGCTCAGAAGTGTCAAGAAACTTAATCCAAGTAGTATGGCTAAAACTTGGCAGTGTTGAATCTGAATATAACCATGTTAACTTAGAGACAAATAGAATGCTAGACCTAGAAGGGCAGTGGAAATGATCTAGACAAGAAACTCTTACCCTGGGGCTATAGATTTGGAGCCCACGGGTCCATGAGGGAGTGGAAGAGCCAAGAAAAACTGAAAATAAGAATGAGTACATGTAAAAGCAGGCTATTTTTTTTTCTTTTTTGAGAAAAGTTTCATGGTTTTTGTAGGAACCTCAGAGGGATCTTCCTACATAAAAAAGTATTAAAAAGCACCAATCCCCATGCTTCGTTGAGTTTCTATAAACATCACCAACAATCCACTGTTGCAAAACAGATCCCGAGGCTCCAGCTTAGGAGATCTCCTCTGCGGATCTTCTCCTTACATCCAACGACCACCTTCCATTTCTATCCTGACTTAATCCTATTTGTCTACAGCAATACAGTCCTGTAGGGGAGGGGCTATTTAAAGATGGGGAAGGTTGACCGGATATTGGCATCTCAGCCAAGGGCTTCTCTCTCATTGTCGTCTATAAGCGCTGGCACGCTGGAGACACTGACAGAGGAGGGGGGGAGGGGCATAAGAAAAGGACAAGCCCGTGTGGTTGTGAAATTGAAGTGTAGAATTTCTCTTTCAAAGGTCAGTAATTTTAACCTTCATCTCCAGCAAGCCTTTTTTGCTAATTTTCTTTGTCGTTCCTTTCGTTTTCTGTGCCAGCCTTCTGCACCTCATTTATTGTTTGCCTGTCTTTTTCCGGATTTCGATATCCTCAAGGTCATGCCTGCTCTGCCAGGCACTGTGCTTAAATTTGTGAAACCAAATAGATGTGTTTTCTCCCTCCTCAGAGCTTACAAGCTAATGTTTCAAGAAATGTTTTTCTTTTAAAATGAATATTAAACTGACAATATACAAATCTTTGTTATATTATTACTATTGATAATAAAGAGATTGATCTAAATTGCTGACCAGAGATTTCAGCCATAATATTCATTTGACACTATGTTTTAACTAATTCAGCTAAAGAGCAAAAAGAATTAATTGTTGAAATAACTTACTGACCAATAAAATGAAAACAGAGGGCCATTTTTTATAATTGTCCAGTTATGGAAGCAGAGTGGAAAATATTAAAATGCTATGATCCTTATAACCAAATTTCAAGACAATATTATATACCAAGAGAATGAAAAAAAAAGCAAAGTAGATTTTCTTTGATTCGTCTTTTAATCGAGGCAGAATAAAATGGAAAATAAACGATAGAAGAAAATACCCTCTAGAATACATATGAAAAATTAAAGCAAATGAAAGTATCCATTCAAATAAAAGTACCAACCACTAGCTTTGCATAGCGGAAACACGCAGAACTGTTATGATTTTAGACAAGTAATTTAAAAACTCTGATTTTAAATTTTCTCATCTGTAAAATCATGACAATAATATTTTCCTTACTGTATTTTTAAAGAGTAAATAAAAAAATTAAATTATGTGTATTTATAAGTACTTACTATCAAATAATACATATGCCAAAGTAAAATACTTTGAAAACAGTAGTAGATTTTTAAAAGTATTATTATTATTAGATTGAACCATGTCTTTATTTAAAACATCAGTGAAAAAGGTAGCTATGAAGGACCCAGGATGTTTCATTCTTCTTAGAAAAAAACCTCAAAACACTCAAGGCACCTGCAGTACTTGTAAACGCAAGAGAAACAGGCCATTTTTTCAGTTTTGTTGTGACTTCCTAACAGAATCTTTGTTTTTGGGGATTTTGGCAAATCATTTGACTCATCCTTGAGTCTACCACAAGGGTAAGGGTCCAAGTGCAAACACAGAAAACAGATGATTAACTTAAGGAGGAAGGAGGGGAGCCCTCGTGGTTGCCCTCCGTTGACGTGCCTGTGCTTTTGTGTGACGTTTAGAGAATATTAAAACATGGAGGCGGATGGAACTCAAAGGACAGACCTGAGACAGAGCCTGCAGAGAACTTCGTCTTGCTATTGTCACGGAGCATGACGAAGGTGACAGAGCCTACTTGACGTGCACTTGTGGAAAGTGGTGACTGTTGCCCTCATCACCATTGCCTCAAAAAATAACCCCTCCATGGCATAGTTTTACAAAAGCCTGACTTGTTCATCACGGCATCCCCAAATCTTACTGCAGTGCTTAGCACAGAGTAGGCCTCGCTAAATATTTGTTGAATGTATGAATATATGACTCAGCTTTTATGCAGTTATTTGGTTCAAGTATATTGCAATAATACCGAAACAGCTAGCTAAGCTGCAAAGTGCGTTATTTTTCGTTATGGTGACGTGGCAGATTGGTTTTGTTGGCTGTGTGGAACAACACATCTACCGTCATGGACTTTTATCAACATGCAGGCAGCCTCTTCACAAGAGGAAGATACCTTGCTCTTCAACTAAACCTTGTCTGTGTCACAGTTTTCCCAAGTAAAGAGCCTTTAGATGGGAGGAAGGGAAGGAAAGATAGGTGAAAAGAGAGACAGGTTGACACACCTGGATAAACCATCACTGCGACCCTATAAATGGTTTATACTTTGTGTACAAAAAGGAAGAGTTCAGGCTTTGTTTTCTTTTGCACAATTTATTTTTTTCTGTCATATTTTGACCTGCCTTTAGGAAGCACTCTGAAGTTCAGGCGGATCTAGCTTCTGCAACTTGCCATTTTGTGCACTGGGACAAGCAATCTTGGGCTTCAGTTCTTCAAATGTAAGATGAGAGTACTCAAGTGGGACAGGGAAGGGGAAGAGGCCCAGCAAAGGTGAGTTTCCAAGTGAAGTCCCGACCTGATCCTGCTGGGGAGCTCCAGAGTCAGTGAGCCTGCAGCGGTTAGTCATGGCTGGAAAGGGGTAGAAGCTGGGGCGGAAAACAGAACTAGGAAGAGGGGTCTGAGGGCATCCAACAGAATCCCTACAGTGTCAGCTTCAACCTGCTGTGAAGGTCAGATGATACGTGCATATAAAGCCCTTAGGAAAGAATCTGGCGCAGAGTAAACACATACTGGATGTTTGCCAGTATAATTAATACTTTTATTATCTTCTCCACAATATTAGAGTCATTGTTCCCCACGCCTTCCTTCCAAGCAGAGGTTATAAGCCCAAATGCTTTCCAGGTAGTATAAATTAGAGAAACTGCTGGAAGACTAGGAAGAGGTGGGACAGGATCAACAGGGGCACACCTGCACCATGCCATCAAAAATAAGGCGTTTAAAATCAAGTATTTACAAAACATTCAAAGTCACTCAAAGTCAAACTGAACCAAACTGAAACAAAAAACAGGTATGGCTGGTGGACTGCCAGTCTGCCATGGCTTGTTCTGGACCTTTCTCATGGTCTCCATCCTGTAAGGCATTCCAGTTCTCAGCAGGAAAGGACGGTGTTTGGCCACACACTCGCTGAGGAGTGCTGCCTGCCAGGCTTCCTGGGGAGCTAGGAGATCCTGGACGGAGTTTCACCCGGTGGTCCGCCCTCTCTGCCCTGGCCGCCCTGGCCGCCCCAGCTTCTGGTGAACTCCTTCCCCTCGTGAGGGCTCTGAACTTTATGTTTGTGTAGGAGCTTTGGTCTGCCCTGCTTAGTGAGTTCTCCAGTCTGAACTAGGCTCCATGGTGACACTGGTGACACTATACAATGGAGAATGGGGGTTTGTTCTTATTAATTCAAGGAAATTTATTGAGCACTATCAAGTTCTATACTAGGAGCTAGGGATCCTAATGAGAAACAGGCTCTGTGCATGTGTGTGTGTGTGAGAGAGAATTTCTTTCTAATTAAAATGTGATTTCGAAGGTCCCCTTGTTTCCCTTCACTTCCCTCTTAGGGAATACAAAGTTAGAGAGGAAGAAATTGCTTATCTATCTCTCTCACTCTATCTCGGGCCATTTGACTCAGTCCTTTCCTAGTAACTCTCAACATACCCTCCATCCTCATATTGATGGTCGCCCTGCCAGACTGACCATTCAACCATTTACCTGCTCTGTGTGCCGCTCTATGCTGAGGGGTTGAAGGTGGGGCTTTGTGTGCAGGAGAAAAAATAAGACACAGTTCTGGGGAAACAGAACATGCCTTCAGAGAGCCACCAGAGACCTAGGACAATGTATACTGAAATGCTAACCTGTACAGATGGGACTACAGGTACTAGAGGTGGAGAGAAGAGAGACAAGAGAAGAATGTGACATCACAGAAAATTCTATGGTTGTGACCTGGCACTACTCTCACCCAATTTGTACATTATATTTCTTTTATTATTTCTATTTTATTCTACATTAATATCCCTTTCAGGATTAAAATTTAATATGTGTTCATCACAGAAAATTTGAAAGGAAACAAAAACAAAAAAGAAATTAAAAACTACCCCTAATTGTATTAGCCAGATGTAGCCATGATGAACATTTTGGCATTTTTCCCTCTAGGTACACACATTTTTACTTTACTGAGACAATTCTATTTTGAAACTTGCCTTTTTTTTTCATTTAATCTTTATCCTTGAACTTTTTCCCATATAATTAAGTACTCTCATGCAGCATGCTTCTTAATGGCTATGTAATATTTTGTCACATTGACATACTATAATTTATTTAAGCAAATTCTCATTTCCTCCCCAAGATCTGTCTCCTTGCCTCATATTCCAACTAAAGCCAGACTTTTAAATCTACCCTTAGGGTCCCAGAATCCAGCAATAGATGCTTTGCTCTATTCCTTCGCAAGAACTTCAGAGAACTACAAGAGAGACAACTGCCATGTCCTATTTCCACAGTCACTGAAGTGACAACTCAGCTTGAGGCTGCTACAGAGATGGGCCAAAAGCTGAGGCAGGGCAACTGGGAGCAGGGCTTAAAATTAAGGGATTTCCAGTGGTCAGATAGAAGGCAGCATCAGCATTAAACCCTTGTCTTACAGGCTTCTTACAGAAAGCAAAAGATACCAGCTCAACGCTCGGGATTGTTTTGAAAGGCAAAGCAAATGGCACATTTGAGAACTGAGCTTGGCTCCATTTGTTCAAGGGAAGGTGGGCGGCTTCAGCTGCCTAGGAAACAGGTTTTGAATATGTGCTTCCTGGAATTCTTTATGCTTTTCTCCTGAAAGGGTTCCTAGTGTTCCTGATAAAGGATTCTTATCCTTTGGCATTTGCAGGCAGCCTAGTTTTGGCAACATTCTGTTCAATTCTTTATGTTAGCGAGCTCTTGTAAAGCCCTGTGTTACCTCAGAGCTAAGCCAGAATTCTTCCTCCTCCTTCCCTCTTTCTCCTTCCCCCTCTCTGCCTCCCTCCCACCTACCAGCCTTGTGCATACTTTTATTTTATTTCCAGTCTGAAAGCTGCAACTCTGGCACAGTGAGGTGGAGCTACACACAGAGCTTCTGCTTCAGTGTTTCAGATGCTGCTTAGGAGAGTGAATAGCAGATGCAAGACATGGATGCTGTGTTGGAAGTGAAACAAACATCATTATTGGTTGAATGTTGACCGTGACACAGGACACATGGTCAAAACCTCCAAGACCTTGCACTAAAAGAAGCAAAAGTAAGACTTGTCTCTTCACTTCATCCAGATCTCTGGTGTAGAAAACAAAGGGGATGACAGAAGACGGTCTAGAAAGAACAGCTTCATTCTTTTTTTTTTTTAAAGATTTTATTTTTTTTTCCTTTTTCTCCCCCAAACCCCGCAGTACATAGTTGTATATTCTTCGTTGTGGGTCCTTCTAGTTGTGGCACGTGGGACACTGCCTCAGCGTGGTTTGATGAGGAGTGTCATGTCCGCTCCCAGGATTCGAACCAACGAAACATTGGGCCGCCTGCAGCGGAGCGCGCGAACTTAACCACTCGGCCACGGGATCAGCCCAACAGCTTTGTTCTTATTCATTCACTTATTGCGTCAGGAAATCTTAATTAAGCATCTGTTTCAGTATTGTTCACCTATGAGAATCCGAGTAATAGTGGAATTAACTTTAGTTAAATCAGATAAAAGGACTGGCCTAGTGGCACAGTGGTTAAATTCACATGTTCCACTTCAGTGGCCTGGGGTTTGCTGGTTCAGATCCCAGGTACGGACCTACACACTGCTTGTCAAGCCATGCTGTGGCAGGCATCCCACATATAAAGTAGAGGAAGATGGGCATAGATATTAGCCCTGGGCCAGTCTTCCTCAGCAAAAAGATTAGCTCAGAGCTAATCTTCCTAAAAAAAAATGAGATAACATTGAAGTGCCCAGCAAAGCATTGGGCACGTAGAGGGCATTCTATACATATTAATAGTAGCTAACATATTCTGAGGTTTCTATTTGCCAGGCACTATTCTAAGCATTTTATATATAATAACGTATTTAGTCATTAAAACAACCTTTGGGAGTATGTTACTCCAACTTTACAGGTGAAGTTAAATATCATGTCCAATGTCATTTGCTTGACTTCTTTTTCTTATCTATATGTAGTGTACATGTCAAGAGTCCTGTCCTTCTCAGCAAAGGTTAGCTCAGCACTTGACCAGATTGCGGAAGCAGAACTTCTGTAGAAAGGTTGGGACTATGTATCTTTTGGGAAAGATGAGAAGGAGAAAAAGAACTGTCATCCTAAGAGAATATTCCAGCATAGGATTCTCACCATAATCCTATTGGCGCAGCATGCTGGTAGTGGAAGGTGAGCCAAGGTAAGTAGTAATAGGGGCCCAGCTTAGACAGACATCTGTTTGGGGATCCTGTTGCTATTTCATAATACACACACACACACACACACAGAGTTTCTGCATTCAAGAAATCTTTGGTAGACATAAATCACAGATATTTGAAAAAAACTAACAGGATAATACAAAACAACTAGATTTGCAATGCTAAATTCTGTAGGATATAAAAATGTGTTCCTTTCCTTCAGAATTTTGTGATCTTGCCAGGAAGATAAGATAAATATCCAAATAACTATAAATAACTCTGCATTATAATGTGAACTCTATGAAAGCAGGAACCTTACTAATCTTATTCATGGTTATATTCTTAGGTTCCTGAAAACTCAACTTGAGTTGGCCCATACATAATAGACACTCAATAAATAATTGCTGAATGAATGAATAAGTTCATCTCAGCGAGTTTAGGGGAAGCTGCAGAGCATAAATATAGACATCTAATGTTAGTTGTCTATTTTTGTGAAACAAATAAGTCCAAATTTAGCAGGTTAGGAATTTGCATGTGGCTTAGCTGGGTGGTCCTGGTTCAAGGTCTCCCATGGTGATTGCAGTCAAGTTGTCATCTGGGGCTGCAATCATCTGAAGGCTTGACTGGAGCTGGAGGATCCACTTCCAAGATGGCTTCCTTATAATGCTATTGGCTGGGGGACTCAGTTATTCCCTGGCTGTTGACTTGACAGAAAGCCTCAGTTCCTCAGGATGTGGGGGCACTCGGTGGTGGTGTTCAACATGGAAGCTGGTTTCACCCAAAGTACCTGGCCCAAGAAAGAAAGAGCAACCAAGATGGAAGCTGTAGCGTATATTTTAACCTTGTCTCAGAATAGATATGCCATTACTTCTGCCACAGTCTATTGGTTACTCAAACTCTGGTATAATATGGGAGGGGATGACACAGGAGTGTAAATACAAAGAAGCAGAGGTAATTGAGGGCCATCTGGGAGGCTGGCTGTCACAGACCCTCAAGCCTATTTGGGTTCATATCTCAGAGATAAGATAGGCCAATACTGAAATCCAATTCATTATTTCATAAGTATGAGGCTTTTTGAAGCTTAAAGAATTATGTACGATTTGATTTCTGGTAAACTGAATAATATTCTAAATGTGTCCAAGGAGATATCTATATACAGAAACATTATTTTCAATGATTTTTTGCAGAAAATGAGCATCCCTTAATTTATTATTAAATCAGGATTCTTTTTTTCTTTTTTAAAGATTTTATCTTTCCTTTTTCTCCCCAAAGCCCCCCAGTACATAGTTGTGTATTTTTTCAGTTGTGGGTCCTTCCAGCTGTGGCATGTGGGATGCCACCCCAGCGTGGCTCGATGAGCGGTGCCATGTCCACGCCCAGGATTCGAACCAGCGAAACCCTGGGCCGCCCACAGCAGAGTGCACGAACTTAACCACTCGGCCACAGGGCTGGCCCATAAATCAGGATTTTGATATTTGTTTATAAATAATCTTCCCATATAATTGTCACCATTCCCCAATTTCTTAGGATCCCTGAGAGCATCAGGAAAGGGGCTAGGAATGTCATTGAGAACTGGAAATCCTGGGTAACAGCAATAAAGGACCAACAAGAGTCAGGCTGATGGGCTTGAGTTCCATCTGTAGGAGCTGAATGTTTTCAGGCCAGTTACTAAATTTCCTTGAGCTTAATGGGACTGATAATATTAGTTACCTCATCGGATTGTTATGAGGCTTATTGGAAAGAATACATGTAAAGCATTTAGCACCTTGCCTAGAACACTGTGAGCTAAGGAGAACAAGTCTATCTATCTCTCTATCCATCTAACCTATGTACCTATCATCTATCTTCATTGTAAACTTACTTATTAAATTTTTAAATAATTAATTTAAAAAGCCCACGCTCAACCAGTTGTGTTGGATAACAAATTGGGCCCATTAGAGTCCGCCAATTATAACTCTCGTTGGGGCAGATCTATACAAAAACTGTGCTCTCACTACCTTGTGCATCTGTTTTAACTTACTATAAATGTTTATTAATTAGGGGTGCTGGTTGTCTCTACATCATTAGTAATTTTTGGAATTGAGACTAGTTTATTTCTGCCCATGTGAGTCATCCATTGCAGCCTCTCAGTGCTCTGCTCAATTCCATACTGGGCAAGGTCAGGCACAGCCATATTTGTCACACGATCCTGTCGAAGAAACACAGCCAGTGGTTCATAACAAGCTAATAGGTAACATATTGCATGGTGATCATATGCCATAATTGATATATCCATTGCATATTTTGTTAGACTTATTTGACTTTTATATTTATGATAAGGAGTTCCTGCTATTGTGAGCTGTTGCTAGTGAATGCTGGTGAAACACTGGTAGTTCTCTTTTAGGCTTTTGGATGCATTTAATTGAAGCATAGCCTAAGGTTGCAAAGGGTACTGTTAAAAGCAGAATTGATGCTGAGGCTGATATAAAAATGCAAATGTCATTCACAACCCCTGAGTTAAAAATTTTGTGTTCATCATTAGAACTCTATTGTTCTTATCAGTTGACATTATACATTCAACTTTATATGAGGAAATGCATATAGAGAGTTTTCAAAATAAAGGAATATTCTTTTAAAACATTTTGAGCAAGATGACCATCTTTTGATTTATCCTTTGTGTAAATCTTTTACATATATTGAATTTTCTTTGAAACAATTTTTTACCATAAAAGCAATTGAAAAACTTGATCTAGAGTATCAACTTTGTGGCAAAAGTGGGAGAGAAGACTTGAAGGGGAGGCTGAGGTCTTCTATATCATAGATCTTAGAGAGTGATCTTAGAGGCTGTGACTATAGAACCAGAAATAGGTAGGAAACAGATGCAGAATACAATCAGATGTTTAAATATCTATACAAAATATGGTCCTTTCAGAGAGGAGGAACATGTAAAGAATTCTATGGAGTCAAGTGGCCAAAATATTAATTGAATCGATTGAGTGGTAAATCAGCCTGGACTAGCATGTGGAAGTTTTTTTCACTTTAATCAAGCAATAAAGCTAAAATAGATTATTAAAGAATTTGATAAAGACATAATTAGAAATTTGAGGGTGCTGTTGTGAAAACAACCCCATTTGAGGCAAATGGACTGGCTCTCCAGTTGGCAGAGCACATTATGAACGGGACTGAGCAAGGCTTTCACAGAATATGCTCTGGATTTGGCAGTTTCAGAACTCACACTCCAGCCGAAATCATCGACTGATAATTAACCTCTTTGAATTGAGAATATTCTATAGTTTGTTTGCAAACCCTACTTTACTTGGATTGTATTCACGTTTCTTTTGTGAGCTGTGGCTTTTTACTCAGAGAAAAATTAGACAGTATGTATAGATGAGATACTATTTTCTGCCCATCAAGATTGGCAAACATTTTTAAGCTTGACAGTCTATTGTATTAGTGAGGCTGGTGAAGCAGGCATTTTCATACATTGTTGGTGAAAATGTAAAATATTACAGACTCTGTGGGGATGAGTTTGTCAATGTTAGCATTTATCCTTTGACCCTAGGGGTCTACTTTGAAGATATACCTCTTAAAATAAAAAATATATATGCAAAAGGTTATTTATGGCAGGACTGTTTACATTGCAAAATTTTGGAACTATCTAAATGTCCAAGTATAGGAGGTTGGTTGAGTAAAGTATGGTGCGTTCACCATAGTGGAACGCTATATAGCTGTAAGAAAAAAATGAGAAATGTCTCTATGAACTGAGGGGGAGTGATCACCATGAGATAGTGTTAAGTGAAAAGATGCGAAGTACCAAAGAGCATATAAATACAGTGTGTTACCCTTTGTGTAAGAAAGAGGAAATAAAAACCATATGCATGTATTTGTTTATATTTACAAAGAGAAATGAGGAATAAGCCAGCATACAATGAAGTTGGCTATCTACAAGGGGCGTTGGAAGGGAAACGAGGTGGAAGGATATGGAAAGGAGTGCACAGGAATTATTCTTAGAGAATAAGAATATCTTTCTGTATATTTTTGCCTTTTGGAAGGATGTTTATGTATTAAATATTATATACATATATATACAATTAAATCAACAGAATGAGGAGGGAAAAAGAACCTGACACTGCAAGGAAACTAAAACATATGACCCTTTAGGTATTTCAAGTGAATCGCATAACCATGCAGAATGGGAAAAAGATGGAGCAAGCGAGCTAATTTAATATCTTAGAAACGTGGTATTTGATTAGATACCCTCAGATTTGGGTTGGGAAGAATAGCAAATGAGTTCTAAACTCTTTTGAGTAGATTTCCTTTTTATAGTTGGATGGACAAACACATTCTGAAACCCCAGAAGGGCTCCTAATCCCAATGCAGACCCTACTCTGGTGGTTCTCCTGTCCCACGCAGAGGGACAGGGTCCATTCTAGAACGCATTCGTGGACTTTCCAATTTGTCCAAGATACTCATTATGTGGCTGGTAGGTGGCAGGGCGCCAAAACACTGGCTATTGTCCTTGTTTATTGCATGCAGGATGAGTTTAAACACCTCCTTCCAGGGAAGGATTACATCTCTTCCTAGTGTGACATCCTTGCGTTCCTGGAGCTGTGTGACTCCCCCGGTGATGGTGCCAATAGGGAGAAGGCCAAAGGCATAATTGAGACAGAGCTCTGGGCCAAGGAGCATGACAGTGTGATTAGTAGATAGATTGTAAGACAAAAAACAAGAAGAATTCCAGAAACCTGACCTCAGAATTCCAAAATTCCAAGTTAAGCATAAGATTTTCCATGACAAATTTTGTTTTGGGAGGAGGTGCAGCTAAGGCATGAAAACTCTTGAAAGAAAGCAATTTCCAAAGCCTTGGTCTAGGCCAGCGGAGGAGAAACGATCAGTCTTCAGGTATGACATGTAAGCTTGTCACTGAGTGGACTCAGTCTCTGAGCTCAGAGAAAGGTTCCAAGCAATACAGCCCATGGATAAAGCTGGCAAGGAAGCCAGTCCCGGGTCTGAATCCTCCGATTGGGTCATTCAGACCTAGAATGTGTAAGAGGGGCCCCTCAGGCCCAGATGACGTGATCCTTACAGGCCAACCGGGTTAATCAGAGAAAGGCCTTGCAGAGATTCAGTTAGGAAAGGAGGGTGCTGTATACGTCTTGGAGTTGTGCCAGTTTAGTGAAGAAGAGCGAGGAACTGCTCAGGATGAAGATAGATACCGCTAAAAAGCCCACGGATTGTTCAAAGAGGTGGGGTGGGAGGTGGGAGTTGGAGATGTGCAGAGAAAGAGAAATAAAGGAGGAAGGAGAAGAAACAGGAAAAGGAAGGAGGAGGAAGGAAGTTTCATGTTAAGCTCTGTCAATATCTAAATTTGGCATCTATGTTTAGACAGCCAGTAGTTTATTTCCAGGCCGGTGAAATCACTGATTCTGCCCTGCTGTCTATGTGAAGTCTCATACACACTTCACAGAAGTGGATTAGATTACTGCAGAGGGGCAGGGAGATTTAACCCACGCTCCTTGGCAATGGCAGCCAGTGTTTCTGTGTAGGAAGTACCCAGGATAGTAATCTAGTTGGAAAAGGATGGTAGGCTAGGCGACTTGCGCTGAAATTGTGCTTAATGCAAGAACAGGTTTTTTTTCCCCTTAATTTATATTGTGTGCTTATTTGTGATGGGTTGGAAGGGATCTAAAGTCTTCTTGAGTCTCCCAAATCTCACCCTCCCACCCCGCCCCATCCATGGCACCTCTCAGAAGGGCCCACTGCAATTGCCAAGTTGTGAGGGTGCCTGTCTGTGTCCTTGTTGGAGCTGGCTGACAGGGCCAGTGGATAAGCTGGACGCGGACTGGGAGCCATTCCCCCGGCACTCCCAGGATCTTTGTAGGCTCGAGAATTCTCCTTTCACCTAGTCACCTGGATCCTTTATTCAACCCACCCACTTAATTTCTGTTTTCCTCCCGGTACTTTAGCATTCTTTCCACGGAGGAATGTGGATAGCTTAGATTTTTACACATTCCACTTGTGTGATTTTAAAACGCCCCACATCTACGTTGTGTCTAAGACAATGGACGCTCTTCATTGATTGTCCCCGTCCTTCCGGCATCACATTCTGAAGTAGTGCTGCTAGAAGTGTAGTCGCTGGACCAGAAGCATTGGCATCACTTGGGAGCTTGTTATAAATGCAAAACCTCAGGCCCCATCCAAAACATACTGAATCAGAAACTCTGAGCCTGGGGTCCAGGAATCTGTTTTAACAAGTTCTCCAGGTGATTTTGTCGTCATCCAAAAGTTTGAGAAACACAATTCTAAGCAACTCCATTTGTCGCTTTGTATTTTTTTCTTTCTCTACTGATACTTTGTTTATTACTGACTGACATTTTATTTTTGAATACGGGGATAACAAAATAAATATCCGCTCAAGCAAGGTGATTTGAGAGGTGCCATAAAATGCCCAAAAGACATTTCTGAAACATGATGTTTCCATGACACTGGCTCTGTTATTGTTAGTTTCCAGACTGAGAGCGAATGAATGAAAGAAAATCTCCAATATGCTTTAGACATCAAGATCCAGGAGGAAAGGGGCTGGTGTTATTCAGGATTTTGCTTCAGCTGCTGTAATAGAGAGATCCAAAGTAATGATGGAAATGAATTAATCACAGTAAAAGTTAATTTCTCTCTCATGTAAAAGTATAGGTGGGCAGCATTGCAGTGCCACAATCGTCAGGAATCCAGGTTCCTTCTGTTTTTTTGCTTTGCCATCCTCAAATTGCATCATCCATTTAGTGGTGCAAAGTGGCTGCTCTGGCTCCTAAAATCACATCTGCTTTCCAGCCCATAGGAATTGGAAGGGAATAATACTTAAATGAGTAACTATGAGACAATATGGTTAGAGCCACAGAAGATCTGGGTCCAAAGTACATTGGGTGCTGCGTTGGTCTTGGACCTTGACCTTAGATCCATTCCTCCTGTTTTTCCTTCTTCTTCTCTGTTTTGTCAAAGGGCTGACTGTTGCAGGCTGCATCTCCCAGGTTCCCCTGCCAGCTGATTTTCACCTGGCTGCAGTTTCAATGGGAAACGCTGGTGGGAGATTGGTGGGCAGAAGGAAGGGAGAAACTGAGGTATTCCTTCCCATCTGCGTCTGTCCCATGCAGTGACTCCAAGGATGACCGCATCTGTCTGAGGCTCTAGTTGCTGACCCATCGGCTCTAGTCCCACTGCCTCCCTTCTTCGTCCTTCCAGTCCTCAGGTGGTCATGGCTTCTTGTTGTTAATCTCTGGGTTGCCTCACTGTCCTGTTTGCTCTTTAGCTCTTCTATCACATGGAATCAATTCCTTGTATAAAATCCTGCAGTTCTAAGTGAAATGGTTAAACCCTGGCCAAGATAGGAGGGGGAACTCTAGAGGAGAATTCATAGAGAAAGCGATATTTGTACTGGATCTTCAAGGTTTGCTGACTGATTTCCATGAATTAATTCCAATTCGATCTTTCTGGACCCTGGGTCTAGGGAAGACACAAGGGGAGAAATGGTTTGGGGCTCAGATCACTCAGCACAGGATTCGTGGAACCCAGGGCTGTGGGTTACACCTGCTTCTAATGCAGAGTATCTCAACCTGAAGGCCATTGACATTCACGGCCAGATAACTCTTAGCTGGGGTACTGTCTTGTGAACTGTAGGATGTTTAGCTGCATCCTTGGCCTCTGCCCACTAGAAGCCATAGTATTCCCCATGCTGCCCAAGTGATCACCCCTGGAAATGCCTCCAGACCTTGTCAAATGCCCCTTGGTGGGGTGGAGTGGGGGGTTGTAGGTAAAATCACTTCAGTTTACAACCACTATTCTGTGTTGACGGCTCAGTATCCAACCACTGTACTGGAGACCCTTTTAACGCTCAAGGTCAGAAAGTCACTACCTTCCCGAATGGGCAGCTGCCACCCCACCCCTCTCCTTCATCTCCACTTCCTTCAGTTGGTGAGGGCCTTCATTTCTGATAAACACTGTCTGCTATAGAACAATGATTCCTTAGTCTCTAAGGGAGTGTCGGGGCCCAACCATTATCTTCTTGCCAAGAAGCGGTGACACAGGAAATGAGGAGTCATCAGCCTACTACAGTGTTATAATTCTTCTCTGATTTTTGAGATCAAAGTTGCAGAGCTCTGAAGGATGTTTAATTCTGTCCTTCTTGATCAACCCTTCCTTCATAAGACAAATTTTCTGCTCCTCCCACCCCAAAACACACATCTGTCCTGGTCTACTGGACAATAAAGGAGAAAGGAAAAATACTAATCGTCTCTGAGAAAAAACAATGTCCCTACTACTATCACCGTTTTCACAAGGGCTGCCTCCCACAAGCCAGGTGTTTTATACGCATGTCAATACATTTGATTAATCTTTACAACAACCCTGCATCTTAGTTATGATTGTTCCTATTTAACAGCTAAAGAGCTAACTGGCCTCAAGAAAAACAGCTAGTGTTGGTGAAGGCATCAAAACTTCTCCTACCAGTGACAGATAACAGCAGTACCTATGTTGGCACTGTGCTTTCACGTTTTAACTGTTATTTTTTACATAGATTGTCTAAGTTGTACTTAAGCATAAGTACTATGAGAGTTCAGAGAAGCTCTAAAATGTTTGGTGTGGTTGGAGGAAGCTTCCTAGGGAATTAGGAAATGAGCTGGTCCCTGAAGGTGACGTGAGTGAGAATTGGTGCTGGTGCTGTTGGTGTAGGTGGTAGTAGAGGGTTCATTTGAGAAAGGAAACATGAGCAAAGACCCAGAGTCAAGGTGACGGGGGTGTAGAGAGGACGTAAGGAAATAGGCCAACCCAACAGGGGCAGGTGATTCATGATGGTAGGGAGAAAGATGGGGTGGGTGTGTCTAGTGGGATCAGATTATGCAGAGCCTCAAGGTCCAGACAGGGGAGTTAGGATATTACGAAACAGCCAGTGAGAGATGTTGCAAATTTGTAAGCAGAGACGAACATTTTGTATCTCACTGTCACCTTCTCAGAAAAGCCTTATCTAAGCCCCTGATGCTCAGCTTTGGGTGTCAGTCTTATAGGAATCTGGGCCTTCCCTTCAACATGGCCCTACAAGACTGTGAGCTCTTTGAGGACAGAGCTCTGATTTGTCCATCCTTGGCTCCAAGGCCTGGCCTATAGGAGGCCCTCAGTGAATGGACTGAGTAGTGAGTAAATGGACCCTGACAGAACCATGTGCTCCTCTGACTCCTCAGTGCCATTTGAAGATGGATTCCAAGGAGAGGATGGCCACTGGACATGTGAGGTCACAGATTTTGAATGTGGGAAGGCGCACAGATGGAATCTCAGAGCTGTCTCAGAGGTTCACTTGAGGAGAGCACAGTGGGAGAGAAGATGAACCGAAGAACCTCCAGGTTCTGGGGGACAAGGAAGTGTGGACGGGAATCACCAAGGTAATCAAAGTGTGTTGTAGAAGCCGGACCATCTTCCCCAGTCCGGGTGAAACGTGGTACATTTCAGACATTAGGGGATAAATAGGCATTACTACTGCTACACCTAAGGCCGCCTTTCATTCTGTAGGAGGTGAAATAGTCATATTCTTAATCTAAAGAACTGAAAAATATCCTTCCAAATGTTTCCCTCTTCCTGCATCCTCTACCCCCACCATTGGCATGGGCATGTGGACATGTTCCCACCAAATGAGTCAGTCAGATAGGAACATTAGTCTATTTGAGCAGATGTCACTTTAAAAAAACAACATTGCACCATTACACAAAGCTTACCAATAATTCCTGTCATGTAGCGATGGTGGTGATATAAAGAAAAGGGGTAATTTTGGTGAATTCAAAGGAGATAAGATTACTGTAATTATGGGGGACTGCTTATAAATAATCTCAGAAAAAAGAAAGGCTGTTTTGTATCATGTTGAGATATGGGAAGGAGGAGGGAGGAAGCCTGGGAAGGAGGTAGGCTGTCAGAGGGGGGAGGAGGGGGGCGGCAGTGTTGACTAGCGGTGTTCTTGTGGGTGACTTGCCCTGTCTTGAGCTGAGCTCTTCCCTAAGAGAAGAGAAAATCTTTGAAGGTCGCTGGGAAAAGAATTCAAAGAGCTTGCGCAGTATAAACTATATCCCTCTCGCCTCACCGTTGCCTAAATCCAGCCCTTCCTTTTCAAAGCACCGCTCAAATCCTTTCCTTCTGTGAAGCCATCCCGTTTCACTCCCGTCTGCAGGACTCTCCCTCCAGACGGCGGTACCAGGCCTAGGGCAATTAATTAGGATGACAAGTTTTATGACTTTGGTGTTGGTGAACCAATATCTTCTATTATCATTTAATCTTTCACGTGTTCACATACAGATTCCCTAACCAGGTTGGCATTTCCTTGAAGAAGGCTTGGTGGTGTACGCTACCCTAGGGTCCCCCAAGGCACTGTACATAAAGTGGGTCTCAATTCATATTCATTGGTTGATTGATTATTAATGCAAGTGGCTGTCATCTAAGGTGGTCTACCTACGTGACACAGGGTCTGATGAATTAAAGACAGAAAGGAAACTAACATCCTTGAGCCAAGCCCTTTTTCTAGGATTGGATGATCTCAATTTAACCATTTGAAAAACACTGAAGTAGATATACTCAGATTAACGGTGAGGAAATGGAGATTCAGGGAAATTAAAATGGGTTTCCCAATGCTACAAACTTCGTAAGTAGCAGAAGCTGGGATTTTAATCTTAGACTTGTCTGACTCCAAAGTTTATGTCCTTTTCAGAGGAAATGTTAGTGCTCCCAATATCCTCTCTTTTCCTTGGGCCAAGATCAGAAATTCTGGCAGTTTTATCCTGGTAGCTTGAAACTTTGATACCTGTCAAATTGAGGACACTCCCAGAGTGAGGTGTGGTAGGCAGGATAACGCCCACTCTCCACCCCCACACACACAAACACCCAGATTGTAATCTCCAGAACCTGTGAATATGTTAAATTACATGGCTTAGGGCAATTAAGGTTGCAGATGAAACTAAAGTTGCTAAATAGCTGACCTTAAAATAAAAAAAAATTATCCTGGATTATAAATAATAATAAATAAAGGATATCCTGGGTTATCTGTGTGTGCCCAGTGTAATCACAAGGGTCTTAAATGATGGAAGAGGAAAGCAGAAGAGTCAGAGTGAGTGATTGGATGTACGAAGGACTTGATGTGCCATTGTTGGCTTTAAAGACAGAGGAAGGGGTCATGAGCCAAGGAACGTGAGCAGCCTCTAGAAGCTGGCAAAGGCAAGCACCTGGGTTCTCCCCAGAGCCTCAAGAGAGCAAGGAAGCCCTTCTGAGACTTTGATTTTAGCCCAGTGAGACCTGCATCAGACTTCTGACCTCCAGAACTGTAAGATAATACATTCGTATTGTTTTAAGCCACTAAGTTTGTGGCAGGTAATTAGTTACAACAGGAAACTAATACATGAAGCAGCAATAAATTAGTGCCTTTTTCTATTAAAAACCTATGGAGGATTGGAGAACAGGTTTGAAGAAGAGAGCAAGAGTCTACTGAACTTAAACAACAAGGTGGAGAGAAAGGAAAAGAAAAGGCAAGACAAAAATAGGGGTGGAGCAGAGGTGGAGGAAGAGGGTGGGAACTCCTGGAAGGTGAGGATCATTTTCATCCACCTTGGCAGCCCCAGTGCCATCCACAGGGCGTGGGATACAACTGGGGTCTTGTCACAAATCATTGATTCAACAGGATGAAGGAGGGAAGGAGAGGATGAGTAGGTAAAAGAAGAAAGGGAGAAAAGAAAGGAGGTAAATGTGTGTGGGGGTGAGTGGTACCATCAGAGGGCAATGGAAGTACCAGAGGCAAACAGCTGGACTGAAGTTTCTGTAAGACATTGATGCTAAGGCTAGTCCTTCAGTGAAGCATGAACCTGTTCTGGAAGCCCAGTAAACAGTAAAACCCTTGCAAGGTTCTCACCAATATCATCACTGGCTCTAAGTTTCTCAATCCATTACATCTCCTATATTATTACAGGAAAAAACATAACCAAATAGAAACACAATCCTTCAGTATGACAGTCAAAAGGGAGCAGAGCAGCATTGCTTAAGAACAATGGCTTTGTAGGCAATGGACTTGAAAAAAATGTGTTTTTCTGACTCTCAACTTTTTACACCAGTGCAACTTCATTCAGAACATGTACTCTGAAGGATCAAGTGACGGTCTCCTTTTCACTTAGACCACCTCCACTAATCTTACTCTTCTGTCGGAAAGCTTGACACGTGATGTTAAAAGCAGATTCCTCACTGCTAATTCTTAAATGCTCTCAGTTCCCATAAAACCGGAGACAAGATCTCCACGTCCAACAATATCCAAGTGCAGGTGTTGAGTTACCCATCTCTCAGCAGTCCAGCCAACATTTGAAAGAAAGCTGGATAATATTTATTGGTTTGAGTTATAAGATGAAAACAGCTATCTCAGCCCCATTTTCTCCAGAACTGGTAAGCTCAGGTTCAGAATATGAAAGATACTAAGTACTTTTTCCTTGTTACTGTCTCTTTCTCTTTAATCCTTTGATATTCTCATTCTTCTCTCTTTCTTTTTCATAGACACCTGCGGGCACATGCATGTGCACATGCACGCACACACACACATCCCTAACACCTAAATTTTAGTTAACTGCATGACATAATCCGTAAAAGAACCACAATCATCTAATCCCGTCCCCTTCAATAGATAATGAGATGAGATTCATGTCCAACAGTCATAACCAGTTAGTGATGCAAGAAAGTCAGATCTCAGGTCTCCCCTCAACCCTGTGTGTTTTCAACTATAACAAACCACTTCTAAGTGCAGTGAATGTGTCTACGAAAGTACCCAGAGCACCTGTCCCTTCCTCTTCCTTTTCCTCCTCCTCCTCCCTCTGCTCAATTGCATTCTTTGTTAATTAATCAGATCCATCATTATTTTTCAACCCAGGTAGGTGGAGGGATCAGATGTTTTACTGTCTGTCTTGGAGTGGCTATGCCAAAACTGATACAAAACGATGACTAGGAAGAATGCTGGTGTTGGTACAATTTTAAAAAGTTAAAAATCAAAATAGTCATTAGTTGGGAAAGTTATGTAAGTCTTACTTCTATGCTATGAGAATTAGTGCATTGGTTAATGAATTAGCTTTATATATACTGAAATAGAAAACGTGTCCCTGGTACATTAAATGAGAAAATCAAATCAAATTGCAGAACATGATATATAGAGTTGTCATATTTTGTTAAAATATATGGAGAAATATGCAGAAGGGTGTGTACCAGGTTGATCTCACTGGTTACACGTGTGGAGGGGGATTGTGGGGAAGGCAGAGGAGCACTTCTACTTTTTTACTTTGGGAACCTCTGTTTGAAATTTTTGCAAGAAGATCATCTTCCTTTGGTAATTTAAACAAGATTATCAGAGAAGTGAGTTAGCCTGGGGCATGGGTCCTAACTGGAAAAGAGGTGGCCACAGATCCAGCACTGGGGCTGCATCCTTGGTACCACCACGCACAGGCTCGCCCCTTTGGTATCTGAGCCAACCCTCACTGAGTTGAGTCCAAATCTTTATTAAACTCTTAACCCCAGTCCCCTTTTCTTCATGTCTCCTCATGCACTGTCTAGTAAGTGAAGTCTTTCTTCAAGACCCAGATTCAAGTGGCTGAGTCAAGATTTCTGGGCACCTCTGTTGTCTCCACAAATCTGCTTCCTTGATACCCAGCCCCTGGCTCTCTGGGGTGAAGCAGGGTATGTGGGCTCTTACACAGCCATTGCATATGGCCTTCTGCATTAACCTTACCCACATGCCTGGGCTTTTGCCAATGCTCCCCTCCTGACCTTTGAACACCAGCCTGCTTGCTAAGGCTACATCTAGCCTTACTCACAGCAGTCCCTTCTTTGGGGTTAGAAGGCTCCCCCACAGCTCCAACTTGAGGCTGGTCTCTATGCATGCAGATCTTCTACTTGGAAGTTGGTACTGTCTGGCCTGACCTCTTGCTGCAGCTCTGCCTTGCCTGCAACCTGGAGTACTTAGATGTGGTTAGTTTCTAGAATTCAAAAAATGATGTTTCTGTGCCCCCTTGGTGTCCTGTGCCTCAACCTCCTGTTGCTATTCACATGGTCACTTTGTATAAGGCCAGCCTCCACTCTGCCCCAGATTTTTCCTGTTTCATCACCATACCACGTGATATTCCTCCTTGAGAGCCCTGGACTGTCGAGTGACCCATAAGGCCAAGCTATCCCATCAGACCACTTAAATAGAATGATTTGGCTCAGTGTTACTCTGATGCATTCTTGAATTGCCTCTGCCTTCCAGCTGGACAGTGCCTTAAGCTGCAGGGTGCCATTGAAAGTTACCAAGACTCCTGAAAAGCTTACACTCTGTCTCCTGATTCTCTTCTCCAGAGAAGTCTGAGTGCCCAGATTTAGAGCTAGAAGACATAGTGGCCCT